AACAACAACAAAAAATAAACACTTCACCAAGAAACTACTAGAACTGGTGAATGAATTCAGTAAAGTATCAAAATACAAGAGAAATATTCAGCAATCATTTCCATTTTATACACTAATAATGAATTATCAGAAAGAGAAATTAAGAAAACAATCCTATTTAAAACTTCATTAAAAATAAAATATCTAGGAATAAACTTAACTTAGGTGGTAAAAGACCTGTACTGGGAAAAGTATAAATATATGACATTAACAAAGGAAATTAAAGAAGATACAGATAAACGGAAGCATATACTCTGCTCATGGAAAAAGAATTAATGTTGTTAACATGTCCATACTACCCAAAGCAATCTACAGATTCAGTGCAACCCCTATCAAAATACCAATAGTGTTTTTCACAGAACTAGAATAAGTATTCCAAATTTATACAAAACCACAAAAGACTGCAAATAGTCACAGAAATCTTAAAGAATAAGTTTGGAGGTATCAGAGTACCTTTTTATCAAACTGTACTATAAGGTTATAGTAATCAAAAGGGCATGGAAGTGGCATAAAATAGACACATAGCTCAATGGACCAAAATAGAGAATTCAGAAAGACACCCACCCTTTTAGGTTCAACTGCTATATGACAACAGAAGCAAGAACATATATTGGTGTAAAGTCAGTCTATACAAAATGGTGATGGAAAAACTGGGAAGATATGTAAAAAAAACTATACTAAAACTTAAATGTAACACTTGAAATAGAAGAAAATACAGACTGCACATTTCTTTAAGTATATTTTATTGATTATGCTATTACAGTTGTCCCATTTTTTTTGCCCCTTTATTCTCCTCCGTCCTGCACCACCCCTCCTACCAGCATTACTGTCCCTCTTTAGCTTATGTCCATGGATCGAATATGTAAGTTCTTTGGGTTCTCCATTTCCTATACTACTCTTAACCTCCCCCTGTCTATTTTATACCTACTATTTATGTTTCTTATTCCTGGTACCTTTCCCCCCATTCTCCCTTCTCCCCCTCCCTGCTGATAACCCTCCATGTGATCTCCATTTCTGTGATCCTGTTCCTGTTCTAGTTGTTTGTTTAGTTTGTTTTTGTTTTAGGTGTGGTTGTTAATAATTGTGAGTTTGCTGTCATTTTACTGTACATGTTTTTATGTACTTTTTCTTACATAAGTCCCTTTAACATTTTATATAATAAAAGCTTGGTATGATGAACTCCTTTAACTTGACCTTCCCTGAGAAGCACATTACCTGCCCTTACATTCTAAATGAAAGCTTTGCTGGATAGAGCAATCTTGGATGTAGGTCCTTGCCTTTCATGACTTGGAATACTTCTTTCCAGTTCCCTCTTGCCTGGAAGGTCTCTTTTGAGAAATCAGCTGATAGTCTGATGGGAACTCCTTTGTAGGTAACTGTCTCCTTTTCTCTTGCTGCTTCTAGGATTCCCTCTTTCATTTTAATCTTGGGTAATGTAATTATGAGGTGCCTTGGTGTGTTCCTCCTTGAGTCCAACTTCTTTGGGACTCTCTGAGCTTCCTGGACTTCCTGGAAGTCTATTTCCTTTGCCACATTGGGGGAGTTCTGCTTTATTATTTGTTCAAATAATTTTTCCACTTGTTGCTCTTTCTCTTCCCCTTCTGGGACCCCTATAATTCGGATGCTAGAATGTTTAGAGATGTCCTAGAAGTTCCTAAGTCTCTCCTCATTTTTAAAATTCTTGTTTCTTCATTCTGTTCTGTTTGTTGTTTCTTTCTTCCTTCTGGTCCACTCCATTGATTTGAGTCCCAGTTTCCTTCCCATCACTATTGGTTCCCTGTGCATTTTCCTTCATTTCTTTTATGGTAACCTGCATTTTTTCATCTAATTTGTGACCAAATTCAACCAATTCTGTGAGCATCCTGATCACCAGTGTTTTGAACTGTGCATCTGATAGGTTGACTATCTATTCGTTGCTTAGTTGTATTTTTTCTGGAATTTTAATTTGTTCTTTCATTCAGGCCATTTTTTTTGTCTTGACATGCCTGTTACATGTGAGGGGCAGAGCCTTAGGGTGTTCACCAGGGTGGGGCAACCCATGTCGCTGCTTTGTGATGCTATATGTGGGGCAGGGGTCTGAGAGGGACCAATAGAGCTTGCTCCTCTCTCTGACAAATTTCAGTCACTTCCCCCTGCTTCTCACAAGCAAATTGGGCCCTTCTGGTGCTGATTCCCATGTGGGTGAGTTTGTGTACATTCTAGGACTCTGTTGGTCTAACAAACTCTCCTGTGAGGCTAGGAGTTTCTCCCAGCACCTTAACCCACACAGGTGTTTTCAATCGGTGTTTTGAGGCTTTATTTCCCCGAACTGGGGCCCTGGATTGTGAGGTCTGTCTTGCTCCCCAGTTTCACCTGGTTTATCTGTGCACGAATATGGGACAGCCTGGTCCACCAGCTGCATTGTGCACCGCGCCCCTCCATGATCCGCCGCCTCAGTGGGTCCGCCAGCCACCGCCTGCATGCCCAGGGTCCACCAGCTGCTGCCTCGTGCACCCAGGGTCTCCAAGCCACCCTGCCATGAGCCCTCTCCTTCCTGGCCGCTCTCCTACCAGTCTGGATGAATGTGTCTACTTTAACTCCTTGGTTGTCGGACTTCCATACAGTTCAATTTTCTATCAGTACTGGTTGTTTTTTGTTTCCGAATTGTCTTTATTTTGGTTGTGCAAGGAGGCACAGTGTGTCTACCTACACCCTCATCTTGGCTGGAAGTCCTAATGTTTGTCTTGTAGGATGTGTGGAGTGACAATACACTGAATCTTGGGTGCATTGGTCTTAGGTTTCTCTTTAAAATATTTTATTTATTTTTAGAGAAAGGGGAAGAGAAGAAGGAGAGGGAGAGAAACATTGATTGATTGCCTCTCATGCGCCCTCAGCTAAGGACCTGGCCCACCACCTAGGAATGTGCCTTGACTGGTAATTGAACCAGTCAATATGGTCAATATATTGAACCATATATGGTCAATATATTGAACCACACCAGCCAGGGCAGTCCTAGGTTTCTTACCATCTTTGTTTAGGGGATTTCTTACAACACATTGGTGGACATTATCTTTTGAGAGATTGAAAAGTTTGTGGATTCTGCTAGCTCTTTTGAGCCCCAGGTGACATGGAAGAGTAGTATCTATGAGACCAGACATATGTTTCTCCCTCTTTTCTACAATGCTGAAGTCTGAGAACACTGAGATTGGCATTCACACTGCAACCCTGAACAGATCTGAGCTTTCTCTCTCTAGTCCTCCTTGGTCTATAACAGGCATGCCCTTTAGCAGTAGACAGATGCGGCCAGGGGTCAAGACATCCTGCTTCATGGGGAAAACTTGTTTGTCATTCCCATCACTGATTAGAACCATATCACTCTTCCATTCTTCACCCAAACCATCAGCAACTTTTGTGGCCATATACTTCTCATAAAAGGTATGAAGTTTGCATTCATAGTCCACTTCAATAAGTTTCTTGCAGCCATTGGCTGGAAAAGATATGTTCGGCTTCATCATGAAGCAGTGGATGACCTCCAAGGCTCCATGAAAAAGAGCATAAACCTTTTTTAATGGAAAGATTAGTGATTTAAGAATATACTGATACCTCAACATCAGTGTGAATTCTTCATTAACCAAAGTAATGGGGACTAGGGAAAAATCACAGCATCAGTATCAATATCATTTTCTATGGAATATTCTATCAGAAGTACTCATAATAAAATCACGTGATTAAAAAAATTGCTTCTCTTTATTTTAGGCCTTGTGAAGAAGGTATTAATAAACACACAAAGAGTAAGCAGCTTGCCAGAAAAAAAAGATATATCCTGGATAATATTAAAATGGAAAAAATCAGTTCTTAAGTAATTGAAATGGACTATATTTGTGTGATGAAAAATCCAAATATAATTAATGTATATTGAAGCATTATTTGTAATGCATATTAATGCATATTAAAAATAATGGGGATGGATAGGAGTTATTGATTTGTAACTTTTAAAAGACATGACAATTTGGGAAAAAGATTATGTTGTCATTTTTTTAACTTATAGAAAGCCATTTGAGAATACTGTACATGCTTTGACAAACAAGAGACTAAGCTATATTTAAAGTAAAGCTCTGACCTACTAATAGTTACCAAGTGAATTAATAAAATGTTTAACTTTTCCATTAAAAAAGCTATAGGTGTGACAGTATTTTACTGTTTTTTTTTTTTAAAGCAGTGATTAAAGATAGCAGGAGAAAGATGGAAAGGAAGAAATGAGTACATCTTTGGAATTTTTTGGCCTTTATGAAATAATTGTACCACTAATTATACCCCCATGGGGTGCTGTGATTTTGAATATAGTTCAGTAGGTTAATTATTATTTAAAAGTTTAAATAAAATCATCATTGTGTTACTGGGAAAAGAAATTTAAGCAAAATGAATTAATTTTCCTTGTTGGAGTCAATTAAAAAGTTTAAAGATATCTACCCACCAGGGAAAAAACATTTGAAAGCTTTGATAAAATGGTAAGAAGATGAGATTAAGATAGGCTTAAATCATGACAAAACTAGCAATGTCATATTGAATGTTGTTTCAATATGTTCAAAACTAACCAGGATTCCAGCACCCCACAAACTTTTTAGTTTGCTCTCACTTCTGGCTTTCTTAAGATCAGAAGAATCTCTCCCATTTACATGTAGCTTTGAAATATTTTAAATCACAGTGTGGGGTTTTGTGAAAAGAAAAAGTAGCCTAATCATTTATACTTATTTAAGTACTCCATTAACATTACTCTTATTGAAAATGATGGGAACTCATATGAAGTGATAAAGCATTGATAAAGGCTGGTTAAATTTCTAAATCTCTGTCCCAGAGCTTATCTCTCAAATGAGGATAGAACTGTTGTCATAATTAAATAAATCATACAACATACTTGGCATATAGCTAGTGTTTAACAAAGATTAGTTTTTATCATTATTGTACAATAAATGGTTACTCACTCTTTTGTTGAGACAAATAACAGGCCACAGGCTGCAACCCAGTGTGCAACAACAGCAGAGACAACCACATAGCAGCCATTTCACATTGACTGGGAGAGCCTTTTTCAAGCACGCATTCACACGGCCAATGCTGGTCTTAAACTCTTCCGGGGCAACCTACAACAAGGGTACAATCTTAAAAGGTTGTGGGCAACTTTCCACTATTTATATCTAAACTGAAAGAAAATGTTTGTCTTATTACAAATACTTTAAGGAATTACAGGTTCAAATATATTTATTCTCTATCTTCCCCAATAAATATATATTACATACTCCTGGATGACATGAGAAAGGAAAAACAATGTAATTTCATATTTATAGAATTTATTCTGATTTTTGAAAACAATCTTCTGAAATTACCAACAATAAAATGACAACAATAAAATTGGTAGTAAAGGATACTCATCAAGCAGTTTTCTTACCAAATATTCTCAATATTAAGGCAATATTATTTATAGTTTCCAATCACTCTAACTAGCAGTTGACTAAGATCAGAACCTATATACTACCAGAGGAAATGGAATTAAAATTAGACTTTAGCAATATTCTTGGATAAAGTTTAAAAAGACAACTCTCAAACCTTTTCATCCTGGCAAATTTGCTACATAACAACTTTAACACTTGGCATTGTTTCCATTGTTTGTAGGTAAAAGCTACACTAATAAAAGTCTGAGCTGATTACATGCAAGAACTGGTCTTAAGACATAGCTGAGTTACTCTCAGTCAGCCAGCTGGAGGAAAGGACCCACCAAAGAATGACCCAACAACAATCCAAACCCAATTACAACCATAGATCTAACAAAAACAGCATAAAGGGCATCCCAAGAGCATCAAGATCAGGAGATCAAGGAGACTGCACCACTGTATCATACAGGTTTTCTACCATGGAAGTTTACACCATGAAGACAGGGAGTTAAAGGAGATCAATCTAACACACAGAAACAAACAAGATTCCCCCCTAAAATGGGGAGATAAAGAAAGAACTCCCAATCGAAAGGAAAGAAGGAATCCCCAGAAAGAGTGCTAAATGAAATAGAGGCAAGTAAGCTACCAAACATTGATTACAAACTAATGGTTATAAGAAGTTCAATGAGCTCAGTGAGAATTACAAAGAACTCCAGGAAAGCTACAAAGAACTTACTGTGAACTACACCAGCATGAAAAAGGGCATAGAAACTATCAATAAGAGCCAGGAGGAAATGAAGAATACAATTTCTGAATTGAAGAACACAGGAGAAAGAATTAAGAGCAGGCTAGATGAAGCAGAGGATTGAATCAGTGAGCTGGAGGACAAGGTAGAAAAAAATTCACAGAGCAACAAAATGAAAAAAAAAAAAACTAAAAAAGAATGAAAGGGGTTTAAGGGAGATGCAGTACAACATGAAACACAATAATATCCATATCATAGGAATAACAGAAGCCGAAGAAGAAGGGATAGGAAACCTGTTTGAAGAAGCAATGACGAAAACTTCCCTAATGTGATGAGAGAAAAAGTCATGCAAGCCCAGGAAGCACAGACGATCCAAATCCAGATGAATCCAAAGGGGCCCAATCTAAGAAACATCATAATTAAAATGGCAAAATTTAAAGACAAACAGAGAATATTAAAGGCAACAAGGGAGAAAGAGCCAGTAACATACAAAGGAGCTCCAATAAGGCTATCAGCAGATTACTCAGCAGAAACACTACAAGCCAGAAGGGAATGGCAATAAATCTTCCAAGTAGTAGGCAAAGGCCTGCAACCAAGACTACTCTACCCAGCAAGACTCCCATTTAAAATGGAAGGCAAAAAAAAAGCTCTCCAGATTAAAAAAAAAAAAAAAGATGAAAGAAAAGAACACATCGTCACCAAACCACATTGCAAGACATGCACAAGGGATGGTTTTAAGAAGATAAATAAAAAGAGAGAGGAACACAAGAACAAAGGGAAAATGGAAATGAATAAGTACCTAACAATAATAACCTTAAATGTAAATGGATTAAGTACTCCAAACAAAAGAAACAGGGTAGTTGAATGGATAAGAAAACATGACCTGCTATATGCTGTCTACAAGAGAATGACCTCAAAATAAAAGACCTACAAGACTGAAGGTGAAGTGATGGAAAAAATATTCCAAACAAACAGTCCTGAAAAAAAGCTGGGGAAGCAATATTTATATCAGACAAAATGGACTTCAAAACAAAGGCCATAAAGAGAGACAAAGGAGGACACTACATAATGCTTAAGGAAACAATCCATCAAGAAGATTCTAAACATTCTAAACATATATACACCCAACACAGGAGCACCAAAATATATAAGGAAAACTTGGAGGACTTTAAGAAAGATATTCATAGCAACACATTCATCACAGGGGATTTTAACACCCTATTGTCAGCAATGGATAGATCTTCCAAGCAAAGAATCAGCAAGGATATTGTGGCATTGAACAACACTCTAGATCAAATGGACTTACTTGATATATACAGAACCTGTCACCCCAAAGAATCAAAATACACATTCTTTTCAAATGCACATGGAACATCTTCAAACATAGACCACATCATAGGACACAAAACAAGCCTCAACAAATTCAAGAAAATTGAATTCATATGAAGCATCTTCTCAGATGACAATGAAACCAGAAACCGACATTAAGGAAAAAAACGCAAAACATTCAAATTCATGGAGACCAAATAACATGCTATTACATAATCAATGTGTTAACAATGAGATAGGGAAGAAATAAAAAAGTTTCTGGAAACAAATGAAAATGAACACACAATAGGTCAAAACCTATGCACACAGTAAAGGAAGTTCTGAGAGGGAAGTTCATAGCATTACAGGCCTACCTAAAAAACATAGAAGCATTTAAAATAAACAACCTAACCCTGAATCTACAAGAACTAGAGGAGCAACAACAAACAAAGCCCAGACGGAGTAGAAGGAAGGAAATAACCAAGATCAGAACAGAATTAAATGACACTGAGACTAAAAGAAGAATTCTAAGGATCAATAAATCCAGAATCCAAAGAGTCAGTGATTCTTTGAAAGATAAACAAAACTGACAATCCTTTAAGCAGACTCATCAAGAAAAAAAAGAGAGGGACCAAATAAATAAAATCAGAAACAAAAGAGGAGAAATTACAACCAATACCACAGAAATACAGGATTGTTAAGAAATTACTAGGAAAAACTATATGCCAAGAAATTTGAAAACCTGGGCAAAAAGGACACATTTCTAGAAACATATGATCTTCCAAAACTGAATCAAGAAGAAACAGAAAGCCTGCATAAACTAATAACTATTAGTGGAATTAAAGCAGTAATCAAAAAACTCCCAGCACACAAAAGTCCTGGACCAGATGGCTTCACAGGCAAATTTTACCAAATACTTAGGGAACAGCTAATGCCTATCTTTCTCAAACTATTCAATAAAAACTGAAGAAGAAGGAAGGCTCTTAAACTTTTTTTATGAGGCTAGTATTATCCTAACTCCAAAACCAGGTAAAGACCCAACAAAGAAAGAAAACTACAGGCCAATATCACTGATCAGCATAATGCTAAAATCCTCAACAAAATATTGGCAAACTGCATCCAGCAAAACATCAAAAAGATCATCAATGACTAAGTGGGATTTATCCCAGGGATGCAAGGATGGTATAATATTAATAAATCAATAGGCATAATATACAACACAAACAAAGTAAAGACAAAATACACATGATCATATCAATAGACACTGAAAAAGAATTTGATAAAGTATGGCAACCATTTCTGATAAAAATGCTCAGCAAAGTGGGAGTAGAGGGAGCATACTTCAACATAATAAAGGTCATATATGAGAAACCTACAGCCAACATCATACTTAATGGTCAAAAACTAAAACCTTTCCCACTAAGATCAGGAACAAGAAAAGGATGTCTGCTTTCATCACTTCTATTCGATATAGTATTGGATGTTATAGCCCACAGTGATCGTATAAGAAAAAGAAATAAAAAGCATCCAGATTTGAAAGGGGAAAGTAAAACTAGTTATTTGCAGATGACATGATGGTGTACATAGATCCTACAGGTTCCACCAAAAAACTACTCCATCTAAAAGGTGAATTTGGCAAAATAGCAGGATACAAAGTGAGTATTCAGAACTCTAAGGCATTTCTGTATACCAACAATGAAGTATCAGAAACAGAAACTAGGAAAAGAATCCCACTTACTAGAGCAACAAGAAAAATAAAGTGCCTAGGAATCAATTCAACCAAGGAGGCAAAAGACCTGTACTCGGAAAACTATGAACCACTAAAGAAACAAATTAAGGAAGGTACAAATAGAAGCATGTACTATGTTGATGGATGGGAAGAAAAAAATCATTAAAATGTCCATACTACCCAAAGCAATCTATAGATTCAATGCAATCCCTATTAAAATATCAACGACATGTTTCACAGATTTAGAACAAGTATTTCAAAACTTTGTATGGAACCAAAAATGACCCTGAACAGCCACAGCAATCTTTTTTTTAATTTATACAGGTACATAAAACTCTTTGTACTTTCTTTTTTTAAAAAGATTTTATTATTTATTTTTAGAGAGGGAAGGGAGGGAGAATGAGAGAGAGAGAGAGAGAGAGAGAGAGAGAGAGAGAGAGAGAGAGAGAGAGAGAGAAGCATCAATGTGCGGTTGCTGGGGGTCATGGCCTGCAACCCAGGCATGTACCCTGATTGGGAATCGAACCTGTGACACCTTGGTTCGCAGCCCGTGCTCAATCCACTGAGCTATGCCAGCCAGGGTTCGCAATCTTAAAAAAGAAGAACAAAGTAGAAGGGATCACAATACCTGGTATCAAATTATAATATAAGGCCACTGTAATCAAAACAGTCTGGTACTGGCATAAGAACAGATACACAGATCAATGGAACAGAAGAGAGCCCAGAAATAAAACCATGTCTCTATGGTCAATTAATATTTGACAGAGGACAGAAGCATAAAATGGAGAAAAACAGCCTCTTCAACAAATGGTGCTGAGAAATCTGGAATAGTACATGGAAAAAAAAGAAACTAGACCACCAACTTACACCACACATAAAAATAAACTCAAAATGGACAAAAGACTTAAACATAAGCTGCAACATTATAAA